CCGTGCGAATCTCACATCGAAGCTAGCCAATTTCGACCATGCGAAGGCTGCACTTTCATGCCTCTACCCTTCCTCCACCGTTGACATAAGCGGATGTCATGGACGAGCGAGGTCATCCACGTGCGGACTTTCGATAATTGCGAGGATTCCCACGGCCATTCAGCGAGCGTACCAGCATATAAGGGAGAACTTCAGTCATAGCAGGCAGATGTGCTGGGACCACCATACACTACACTTGAAGTTTCTACCTATCATCTTCTTTTGAAGTCTTAAGCGGCTTATAATTGTCTTAATCATTATATTTTTGAAGCATACTGAACTTATGCTATTAACTGTTTGTCGTTGTACATGTTTTATAAGTATATTAAATTAAGTGTTTGTGATTTACTCTGAAGTTATTCTATTAAATATCTAAAAACCTATCACCACGATTGTGAGAAGACTCAAACAGCCTGCAATACATACGTACAGGGCTACAGGGTTGTTACATTGGCGCAGTCGGTAGGATCATTCAAAGACGGTAACGACATCAAGTCCAACAGATTTCAACTGGAAGGGACAAGTCAATTAAAGCACTTCGTTGAAATCGACGTTTTTGGAAGAACCATTCAAATATGAACGCTCTTTTGTAAGTAGATAAAAAATTTATATTGTATTAAGCTAGGTTAAGAACTTTTGTTTTATATAAGTATTATCTTAAGTGTAGGTAGGCCCAGTCATCTCCCAAAATTAAAAAAAAAAAATGGAATCAAAAGATACTTTAGGAAATCAAGTTATAGACCAATTAATAGACCTGACCAAAAGCGATAGTAATGAAAGTAGTAATGAAGGATTTTTTGAATCAGAAATTATAGAATCCCCTGAACTAATTAAAATAGGAAACAATGACATAGGAAATGATTGTAACGATGTAGTAGATAAGGATGTTAAGGGGAGGTCAGTTGAATCAATAGAAAAAGAAATAGATAGATTTTATAATTCACAACGTAATGTTAACAGATCTAGTGTAAGGGAACCTAAACAAAAATCTCAATCACCTAAGACTGTTTTTAACATTATTGATCGTAGTAATGTTAACACTAACAAGTACACAAATACACGCTGTTGGATTTGTAATAGGCTTGGCCATATTTCCTTTTTCTGTAAATCACGTATGTAATATAGTATTAATAAAAATAATAATAATAGAAATTATCAAACTTCTGTTCGAACTTGTCCAGCTATATGTAATGATTGCAACGGTACAGGCATCATTTTTAAAGAGAGATCGCTGAATCGCCAATCGGCGCATTTCCAGTGATAGAAAGAAAAAAAAAATGCTTATTACTTAAAGAAAAATAACACCTAGAAACACCTTGACCAGATTGATAGACCATAAATCGAATCAAAAGTTCTTATACGTCTCAGTAATACCTATATTATAAATTAACTTAACTATTGTTAATGTCAAAATCATTATTATTATTTAAATAATTAAATCAATTGTGGTTAATGACTTATAACCAAGTAACTTTCATTTAGAAAAAAATATATATATACGAATTTAGAAGGAAATAAATAACTATATATATATGGCAATCTTGGCGAGTTTCTGGGTGTTGCCTATAGAAAAAAAAAGTAAAATTATAAGTTAATAAGTAAAAGGATAAGGTCGGAAAAACGATAAAAATCGGCTGCCATCATTCCAGTACTTTCCATACTTACCTGAATACTCATATAAAACGTTACTTCGGTCCGTTCAGGAAAACCTATTGCCGACAGCTACCCGACCACGTTGACGATTCGGTCAATGCACAATTCAAAACAAAGACTTCCGTGTTGCCAAAAGGCCCGAACAATGCGGACAAGTACGCGATAATCATATACATATTCGAAAAGCAAATTCAAAAGTTCACCAACCACGTGATCGAAAAATCAGTATTTTCCGAAAAATTATAATACAAATCTATAGCCCATTAAAACATAAAACTTAGGGAAATACTTTTGGCTGCCAGATAACAACAATTGTTTGGCCTCTATAATTGTAAGCATAACACTAGGGTCTTTCAATAGACCGTAACTCTTGTAAGTTTGTAATATTAACGAAAAAAGTTTAAGTTATATAAAAATACTTATTCATTTTAAAATGATAATAATATGTTTAGAACGACGAACATTTACAAACAAACAACACATATAATTAGGGCCTCCAAAGCTACGACTATTGTATTTTTGTACATACAAAATTATCATGTGATAAAGTATTAATATAGAAATAAAAAAACATTTGATACTGTGTCGTTTTAAATCGGGTTCAAATATCATTGTAAAGCAGAATTAGAATCACTATTACAAATTATATTTTTAAATAATAAAGTTCGGATTTTTTAAATACCCATCAAGCCATAATGTTCAGTACATGTTCAAACCATATAAACATTATTTTAGAATTTAGACCTAGTAAAAGAATTTAAAATCATGAAAAACAAAATATGAATTTTAAAACGATTTTGTGTTCAGCATCTTTGTCCATACTTGTGCAAAGATTCAAACAAAAATGTATATCAAGTATAAAAATCGCAACATTAGCATTGTTTAGTGATTCGTGGTATACCGTATACCTAATTTAAAAAAGACATATTTATATATTATATTAAACAGGATTATCATTTAACTGTGAACCACTCAATGTCTCATTGGGTTTAATAATAATTGGATTTATTCTTTTAGTGTTTTTATATAATGTGATCTCAATTTTCCACAAATAAGTATGTTTTTACCCCCTCTCCAAACTAATTATTCCTATACCAACTTTTGAAATTTAATTGGTAACGCATACATTTAATTAACCTTTCATTAACTTTTAACATTATGAAAAATACATCCAAAGTCACGATAAACAACTTGATTTGAAGAAAAAAAACACTTATATTAGACAAAGGAAATCCATAATGTTTTAACTTTTCGATTCGACTAAATATTTATATCATAGAGTGTAGCGTGTCTGTTTGGCTAGTTGGCTAAGCTAGACCGAAATGTTAGCCGATAGGGCTAAATTAGTGGACCCGAAGACAGGACGGATGGCTGTATCTACACTTAAATATCCCTAAAGTCTCCTTTATATATGTGTATATGCTTTTTTGCCTGAGGAGCTTAACAGGCGGTCGTACCTCTAAATAACTTAACTTTCAATCTATGTATACGTATATATACACATATATGTATATTACACCTCTACCTTGATCCTTAAGCGTTCTATGTAGTTAGTCCAGGTAATGGTGGAGTTGAACGGACACACGAGCACGGGTAAAGTTAAAATAGTAAGGTAATATGAAACAATAAGTATGACAACTAACTGGGCATAGGAGCCCCTGACATTGTGCCCGTGTGTCTGTTGTCTCTCCTATCTATAATGGCTTACATATATATATGTTACAAACTAAGTAAAGTGCTAATAACGCATCTTTGGAGAAGAGTGGTAACGGGCGGCTAAATATGACCATTACAGTTTTACTATATTAAAAGGTATTTATAGTTGTTATTCGCGAATAGAATATATTTAAGTCATCTAAGCTAAAAGTTTTGAATCCAAAAATATAATCCTAACATAATCGTTCATATTAATTAACCTTCATATTTGAGTTTTAATGTAGTGTTAAGGATAAACAGTTTTTAAATATCGGCGGCTAATATCGATGCAGGTTTAATATTCAAAAAAATACATCAAGTGTAAACCTATGGTACTCAATTAAGTAAACAGGGTTTGGAAATAAAAATATAGGTGACGTTTTGTTTTCGTCTAAAAGTTTGGGTAAAAAATAAATTATAAAATTGTTGTTTTTTTAATTTTTTTTAATAATAACTTAATGTAGGTCTTCACTGTATGTATTACTCAGATTCAGTCATCAAGGCCAAATGTTTTGGGTACAAAAAAATATAACTTGTTTTCGACTTATGCAGTATGCTTGGATCAAAAACAAATAATACCGAATCGGTAAACAATGCGAGTGTTGCGGTGTAAGTAGTAGGTACAAAAGTACAAAACATTTTGACTGGTTGATACGCAGATTTAACAAATATGTTTTATGTTATAAGAGTTTATAAGTTAGGATGGGAGAGGAAGTTCGGTGGATAAGTGCGCGCAAATAAAAATAATACTACACAACACATTTCCTCCTGTCCTTAACTTGAAACTTAAATAACTTCAAAAATAGTTTACATGGAAAATTGAGTTCACATTATACAAAAAATTTATGAAATAATTAATCCAATTATTAATTAAACCCAATGAGATATTGAGAGGTTCACGATTAAATGATAGCCCTGTATATAATTTAATATGATTTTTTTTTTTAAACTAGGTATACCATGAATTAGTAAACAATGCCAGTGTTGCGATTTTTATACTCGACATACATTTTCGTTCTAATTGAAATCTTTATAAACAGACTTTATTTATATAGTCATGCACAAATATGGACAGAGGTACTGATTTATTTGACGAACACAAATCGTTTTAAAATTCATATTTTGTTATTTATGATTTTAAATATGGTTTTAAAGTTATTTTCCTGTTGTATTATGTTTTGCAAGTTCTCAATTTTAATAGAATGTTTATACAGTTTTTTTTAATAATAAACATTATGACTTGGCTGATGTTTAAAAAATACAATTTTTATTAGAGATATGAAACCTCATTCTGCTTTAAAATGACAATATAAAAAACAGGCTCATAAATAACACCTTTCCGTATACGAACCGTAAAACAAACTTCAAAAGACTAAGTTAATAAACTGTAGAATAACAATAACTTCATGTTGTCTTAGAATACTGTAGTAGCACACAGTATGCTTACAGTCTAGTTAAGCAGTATATTATAACAGTTGAATATTTTATCTGTGTGATACAAAATATGACGAACATCAAGATTTTTCTTTTACTTAGCCTAGCAACGTGTGCTTCGTAAGTATTTTTTAAAACATTATTTTTGGTATTAAAATTGTATAAAAAATGCCATCAAAATGAACGTTTACTTTCCAGGTATGGCGATGTAGAAATAACGGATAATTTAGTTGATGGTTAGAAAAAAATCATTTTTAATTAATTTGTTTTAATAATAATGTATTTAATTAAATTATAAGACAGAAATGCAGTTTTATTTCCAGTTGAATTTTTTATTTTAATTTTTTTTTTTGTAATTTGTGTACTCTCTTTGCTATAAAAAGAGGTAAATCAAAAGCTATGTACACAAATTAAAAAAAAAAAATTTCTGGCATTTAAACTGTATATGCGAATAGGGTTATGCCTGATGAATACTCGATAAAAATATAGGAGTATATTCATCATGTTTACAAGCACATAAAAAAACCCACATTATAAATCCAATATCTTCTCAGCTTCGCATTGAAACTAAAACGTAACAGATACTCGTATGTACAAATTATTTATGTGACGTCAGATTAGCCCATGCACAATTATGCTTTATAACGAGTGAAAAAAGTAGGTTTAAGTGTTAGTAGTTAAGTAGTTTAAGTTATAGCGTCGGATTGGCAAATGTGAGATCATCTAATAATATGTAAAACTCCCTGAAAAGTTGGTTTGACTCATAAAAAAAATATTTAGTAATTATTGTTTTTATTCGTTGATTACCAGAAACAGAAACTAAAATACAAACAAATGAAGCTTCAGATACAACTTCACCTGAAAATAAAATAATAGCTGACCTGGAAATTCAGACTGAATCTGGTACAGCTCCATCTGAAAGTAAAATAATAGCTGACGTGGAAATTCAGACTGAATCTGGTACGGCTTCATCTGAAAATGAAACAAAAGCTAAAATTCAGGCTGAACCTCAGGTAAAATATACTATTATTTTAAAACTATTAAGTTTTTGTCAATATTTACTGGATTATTTATAGTATAAGGTTTAAATTTTTCTTAAATAACCATTCTTATTTAACAAACTATTCTTTTTTTTAGCTTTAAGACTTACAAATAAAATTCTTGTCATAAATATTTGTAATCAAGACAAGTTTTTAGTATTGTTTTTATACTGTTATAAATAATAGATTAAAGTTAGAATCGTAACCTAATCGTTAGAGTTAAATTCATTTTATACAATTAATGTATTACTTGGTTTTTTTTTTAGCCTGAAGAAAGTAAATTTGGTAAATTATTTGATAAATGCATATGTCTGTAAGTATTTTTTTAAACATTACTTCTGGTTTAAAATTCGCATAAAAAATGTAATCAAACCTAGAATTTTTGTGTGTAAAATATACATTGAGAAACGAACGTTTACTTTTTAGGTGTGGCGGTACGTCATCGCCGGAATGTGGTAAATGAATATAATTGAGCATATAGCTAGAAAAAAAAACATTTAAAACAAATTTTAATTTATATATGTTACAAATATTTAACAGGTTTTTTACCTGTGTTTTGTTTGAAAATAAAATGTACTTTGATCAAGCAGAAAAATAATAATGTATTTTAATAGTATATATTTTTTCACGCAGTTAAAATAAAATGACTATGTGTAGTTCCAAATGTTTTAAATGTTCATAGGTGCACAAAGTTGATACGAGAGATATTAAATTCTAAAAAAGACAACGTGTACACAAAGTTACACATACAGGTGTATAATAGTCATTTTCTGTATTTTTTACACAGGATTTATGAAAAGTTTAAAATATATGGTTCAGTGAATAGTCAAACGATATAGCACAGTAGAAATAAAAACATACTGACACATTTCTATAAGCAATTCCTAAAAGTATATCCGATTCGAGAATACTGTCAACTTATGGTAGAACCTAACATTCGATTTTCCAAGCTATCATGATTAGTGCTTACACAAACACAAAAAAAAGCAAAGTAATGTTATAAGTTAAAAAACTATTTAAAAGCAGTTATTTAACAGATACATTATTTATTTGGCGTCTGTATGGCAAATGTACTTTCTTCTAATAATGAGTAAAAATCCTTAAAAAGTTGGTTTGGCTCATAATAATACTAAAAAGTATTTATTTGTTGATTTCCAGAAATAGCTGCGCTTGGTCAGAAAAAAGGAGCTCGTCTGGTAATTTATGACCTATTATTTTAAAACTATTAGGTTTTTGTCAATGTTTTGCTGAACTATTTATAACTTAAAGGTTAACGTTTTACTAAATAGTCATTTTTATCTAGTAAACTATTATTATTTGAGGTTGAAGACTTACAAATATAGTTCTTGTCATAAATATTTATAATCAAAACAATATTAAAAAAAACAAGCAAATTCTAAATTTAGTACAATATAAACCTGCATATTCTAAACCAAGCTAAACCAACACATATTTTTAAAGTTATAAGAGTTTAAAAGTTAGGACGCGAAGGGAAGTATGGTTGGGAAGTGCGCACAGCTAAAAATAATACTTTACTCTCTCTTTCCTTCTGCTCTCAATTTGAAAATTATATAACTTCAAAAAGAGTTATCCAAAACTGGTTATCGACCAGTCAAAATTGTTAGTACATTATTCTCAATTTAATAAGGTAATGAAATGTATGCGTTACTACTTAGGTTTAAAAAGATAATATGAAAAATATTGTTTTGGGGGGTAGGATCGTAAAAATGTATGGAAAATTGAGATCACGTTATATAAATCACTATGAAAAAAAAAAATTAATTAAACCCTATAAGATATTGATTGTTTCATGCTAAAATGATTACCCTATATTGGTCTGTTAGCTCTGTGTCCTAGTAGTATAAAATATAAATCAATGAATTAATGAAAACCCTCGCTTAGCTGCTTTAATAAACATTTTTAGTTGATGAGACATGAATTTATGAAAATAATCCCAATAAAATAAAATAATTATTGAAACCCAATAGGTTGGTTCACGAAAAAATGATTCCCTTGTATATTTTACTGACATATTTTTTAAAGTTTTACAACTATTAGTACAATAGCAATATTGTGCTTTTAAAATTAATTTAAAAAAGTTATATTTTAAATCATTTATTATACTATTGTATAAAAACTTTTAGGAAATATCAATTCTATGGGACACTATAAGAGGCGACAGAAACTATATTAATGAAGAAACTTTCTTTACCTATTATAAAGATGAAGAACAGAATGAATTGTCAAGCGTTATGAAAGAATTCGGCCATCCGTATTTATTTAGTCAAAGTAATCGTTATTTTATTATTCTACACGTAATATTTGTACCACCCCAAAACATTTTATTGAAAAAAAAAATTACCTTATGAAACATTTTTTTCCAACTTTGATAAGATGTTCGAAGGTATATTTTGTCATATTCTGATGCTGTATTTTTGCATGGGGACCCTAGATATTTCTAACTTGATATGAACCAATTGTATTACGAAAGATGCTCATAGATTAGAAATCTTACCTGAAACGTACTTTATTGGGACAAAAATGTATTAAATCCACCGCTTCCATTTAAAAATCGAGAAAAAAATGAATAGTAAACATTTACATCATTTTGAAATCAAGAAAAATCCAAAATAAAATCATATAATAAAATTGATAGTTAATTATTGAATAAGCTGGCTAAACCCCTTACAAATTTGGATTTGTTATACATGGCACAATCTTTACAAATATACAACTTCAGAGGGGTTTTCATGAAAAATATGTCACCTTTTACAAGAAATGAAATTGAATGTGGTGTTATAAATTTCCAGAATTTTGATCAAGCTAGTCACTGGACGTCTTAATATGTGAACCAAAATTTTAAATATTATTTCGATTCTTTTAGATGTCACCCCCCGGTAGAGGTAGTTAATTATGTGGGACATCACAATTTATTATAATATAATACTGATTGTGTACAACATTTTAACAATCCTCCGAAATGTGGACATTTATGCTTAGTGTTTTTGTATAATTTATCTGAGGGTTTAGATTTGATACAACGAATGTTTTCAGCTCGATACTCAGTCATAGATGGTATTGTAAACTAGGGAAAAGTAGAAGTTTGTTCTAAATTGAAACACCTCCAAATTAATAGCCCATTCGCGTTTGTAGCATTTCAATAGTGATGAGGTAGGGGTCTCATAAATCTAGAGGAAAATAAGAGGTATAAGAGTGGTAATAAACGACGATTGTGGACTACCTGTAATTTAGATATTACGACCGGTTGGAAATCTCATATGATTGCAGAAGGCATACAAATAATAAAAAAGGATACGTCTTCCCAAATTCTATGAAATTTGAAAATACAACAAATTTATTACGAAAAAAAATTGGCAGCGTCATATGAGGGGAAGAGACATATGAGTAAAATAGATGCAACTATGGGGGCAACCAGAAACGATACACGAGAGCTATACTGAAGTATTGCTATCTATAAAAAATATGTATACCAGATAGCAAGATGAACAATTTGAAAACGAAATTGCAAGCCCAATCCAAAGGGATTCGATACACGAAGATGAGTGATTTTACAATAAATCACTCGTATCCTGTAGAATCATTGCTTTATGTCAACTGACCTAAAAAAATTCCTAAAATTGGAACTAGATGCAAGCCCATGAAAACATGATTACAACACAATCGAGGAATATATAAAATCTGTCGAGGAAGCGATGGGTATAGACTTTGACATAAACAACATATAACAAAATCCAGGGTTGACATCCGTTGCAAAAATGTGTTTAAACTTTTTTTTGGGTAAGTTCGGTCAAAAATCTCACTTAACCAAAACAGAGATTTCTATTGGATGATAAAATAGAAGTTGTTAATACTTCAGTAAATCTGAATGATGACGTGATTGAAGTGTCATATAAAAATACTAAGGAGTATATAAAAACTAATTATAACTCAAACGTCTATATTGCTGAATTCACAACATTCGACGTAAGACTTTGGTTGTATGATATGCTTAATAAGTTGGGTAAAGCTGTCGTATAGGACACGGACAGTGTGTTCTATATCGATTATGGTAGTGCTGAAGTCCAAACGGAATGCATGTTAAGGGAATGGACAGACGAACTAGGACAAAAATATTGGACACAAGGTCGAGGGTATTGGCGATCCGCGATGGTAAAGTCAACTTATAATTAGGTGCAGCATGACGTGCATTGTCCTATGTGTGCGACCGTACCTCTACCTACAACCAGGTGAAATATGATCGTTATAGTAGTTTTTCAGACAGATCGATCAAGTATGAAATTTTTAATGTTAAAAATATATGGTTTGAAAACAACGGTAAACGTTTTATAAAAGGTAACATGAACTTGGATTGGACCAACGACAACTTTGTACTTGCTTACGATTTGTTCTACCGATTTATTTTACAATCTCAAAATTCAATTAAACCATCAATAACTACGGAATGGTTTTATTGCAATAAAAAACTCTTCTTGTATGTATTTGAAAGGGATTTTTATCATATTCGGTGTTTAGGGTTTCTGAAGACCCGTGACCTCCTCAATCCTAGTATGGCCCATTCCCAATATAAAATGATCTCACTGTGCTTGATTTTCTTTTGCTATAATGTGATGGTTTCTAGGTGACACTCAACTTGAATACATAATGTATTTTGACGAATTTGCAAGAGCTGCGTCTCAAGGCTACATACAAATATGTTCTACACAGGTGATGTCAAAACTATTATGACGTTATAGCTTTATTCTATGTGCTTTATAGTTTCATACTGGTAAAAGTTGTTTTGTAATAATGTTGTGTAACTTTTAAAAAACAATTTCTAGGCGATGATTACTGTCTTCAAAGAAATTCTTTGGTTCGCACACAAACGAACCAACAAAAAACATGTTACCCTTAAAGACATAGCTAAATACTATGGATCAATAATTCCTTTACATCAACGCATATATTTTAAGACCTACAGAAAAAAATCAGTGTTTGGTAGATATGAATTTTAGCACCTACTTTTATAATCGTAAAATAAACTTGGGTGTTTATATAGTTTTAGCTAAGATGATTTGACAGTATTGTATTACTATTTTAATTGTTTTTTTTATTATCAAACCAGTGGCGTAATTAGGAATTTTTCCTGGGGGGGGTCCAGATAATTTTCACAGCAAAACTCAACTAAATTTTCAAATGCCAACCTTTCTTCATCAGTATTAGTTGAATTAAATAAACATTCAAACCCTTCAAATAATTTTAATAAAACATATTTATTACCGATTTTTTATAATACATAGATAAATCAATAGCTATCAAAAACTGATTTATGGTTTAAAAAACGATTAGTAAGTTGGCTGATAAAATTGTCTACAAACGGCATAAACACTGTCACTCTATAGTACTCTTCTACATAAGAAACTTGGGGATTTGCTCTATTTGATTGTTTTCTTGCTGTTCGTTTCTTAGATATTTTTGTGCCATTAGCATTTGCTAAACTCTATTAAAATATTAAAAATTAATAATACTCTATGTTTTACTACATGAAAATAAGGCTTATATCACATACTTCTACTTTGTCATATAAAAGATGAAATTATTTTTCAGCATCCTGTTTCATTTATTTTAAAGTATTTACTAATAACTCAATTGTATTTAAAGTATTTTTCAAATCAATGCGTTCTTTCTGTAGTTTTTTACAGACAGGCAGTCCAAGGGAAAAAAAGTCTAAAATAAATTTCTTTGTGTTAATGTTTAAAAATTAGAATTTACCTTTGTAACATATAAAGAAATAAGAAACTCAGAATCCAATACAATTTTTAATAAAATATTAGCATCTATAGAAGATGGTGCACCCCATGTAGAATAAATTGTTTCAAGTGTTTTGACTACAAATGGTAACAACTCAACAATATCGTTTAATGACTCATATTTCTGGACCCATCTTGTTGCACACTGCCTTTTAAATTGTTATTATTATATTTAATTATTGTAAATTATGTTAACATACCTGAGTGTTTAATTTTTTATTTACATTTTGCGAATGGTCGTCATCACGTGATCTTTTCACATTTTTGCTACTATCAGCAGTACTGTTTTATGATTACTATACAACTTGTGTTTAATTCTTATATTTTGTCATGATCCACGTACATACACACCTCAATATCCAACAATTATGATTAAAAAAAAAGTTTTT